AAAGAAACCCGAAACAGGTTGGCCCCCCGGAAAAGACAACCTGAAAACAGGCAACAAGGGCTTTGAACGGCCGGGAACAAGGTTAACCCCCGGCAAAAACGAAAGGGAACAACGGAAGTATATGCCACAATTTTCTGAAGTTGGGGGATGACTCAACCCAAAAGAGGTTAGGCTTGTGCCATCTACTTTCACCCAACTGGCCCTTTCGGCCGGAAAGCTGGCTGAGTTCGGCCAGGCCTGGACACCCAGGTTGCAGACAAGGCGTCGCCTCTGAATCGCCGGTATTCGTGTGCGCGTAGGGCACAGAACCCCCAAATCGGGCACTCAGGTAAGTTGGGGTTGTGGATGGATGTTCCTAGGCAACTCGCCTGCAGTTTCTGTTGCCAGATTTACGAAGTTTGGCTGGGTAATCTGAAAAGAGGTGCTGGCGGCGAACGCCGGGTTTGGACGGCTGTGGGCTGATCCACAGAGGGAAAGAAAGAGCCCAATCAATCATGAAAGGGGCTCCTGGTGTGGCACACGTACACTGCTAAGGTGTCCTTTTCAGGTTAGTTTGGTTAGAAATAGAGTCTGCTGGTTTAGATTGGTTACATTCTATTCGCCAGGGTCATCTATGTGGGCCTGGTTTGGGTTGGACGATCTTCTTTTTGCGAATGCTGATTAGTTTGCAGGACACAATCAGAACCGACAAGGATCATGAACGAGCAACTGAACACGCATTCGCTGAACCGCGACAACCTGCAAGAAAGGCAAAAGAAAACAAGAGCAGCGACTGATAAGCTTCTGGAAATGCAATGAGCCATGAGACGCACAGTCACCAAACATACCTGTTTCGGCTGACAAAGCTCTCCTATGGCAGAGCACTGCGATCGTAAATCATGATGGATATCGGTCCTTTCCCCTGCTGGGTGCTCTTGGGATTTCTTTTGTCTCTAAGCCAGCTTCTGATAGAGTTTGTCCAGATTGTCCTAAGTCGTCGTCGATATTCGCGACAGCTCTGAATGGTCAGATGTTCGTTTAAGCACAACCTATCAAATCTGTTTCTACATCGTTGAGCCAGCATCTTGGTGGGTTCTCAGGGAACGCACAGGGGTTTGGGGGATGAACCAAAGGATTATAATGGAGGCCCTGAAAGGAAACTTAGTAAGGGGATGGTTCACTTTGTGTGATTCCAACGAGTTCCCTGCTGAGAATCAGCAATACACACGGGTTTGTCTCAAAATTGGGCCCGCCAGATTGGTGGCTTTCCTTTGGTTTCTCTTCAAAACTACCCCCCATGGTGCACATAGGGTACCAAACAAAAAAAAAAAACACCAGCGAAAGAGAAGCGAAGCCAAGTGGTGCCGGCTTTCCGGCGGGCCGATAAGTGCCAGGCGCTTCGCGTTGATCCTCCTGGCAAGTGGGAGAGGCAGGTCTTGCGCGAGATATGCCATGGGGTTTTGCTGAATGGATTGGGCAGTATCACAGCTGGTTGGGTTTTCGGTGAAGCACCTGGGAGTAGTCAACTCCGATTGAAAGGGGTTGGGAGGACATTCATCACATGTCTTTTGCTGAAGCAACAAGTGCCACTTTTGTAGCAAATGCAACATGACACATGCCAGAGGTTGGTTGGGTGCTCCGTGCGTTTCCGTGTGGGTTTCTGGTATGGCCACCATTTTTCGGGGGCTCCCCAACTCTCATAGGATCCTCGTGGTTGCGACACTTGTTTTTTGTTTGGGGTGGCAGTTCCCGAACTCGAATTTCAGGTGAAGGTCGGCGAGACCTTCAGCGAGACCCTCAGCAAAATTTGGAGGCGCTTTCGAAGTTTCGAGCGCACGGATCGATTTCGACGGATTGATTCGTGCGAAGATTCGTGGATTTCCCACGCCTTGATCAACGTCCAGTGGATTGAAGTCAAACAAACAAAACAAGGTGTCCATTCAGGCCAAACAAGTCACACACAAGTTCCAATCTGGTCTCATTTGTCGGCACTTGAAAACAAAGCAACACTCACGGAAAAGGGAAGGGTGTTGGTGAATTCTAGTTCCACTTGTCATTGACCAGTTGAGTTTCATCACTGCTTGGAGTTCACTGTGTCCCACCCTTTTCTGACGTTGGGTTGACTTGGGCCTGACCGAAGAATGATTTGAACGCGTCAAAACTTAGAAGAGTCTTAGGCTTGGCAAGCGAGAGTTAGACCCTCCGAGTGGCTGAGTTGGGTGTCCTTGTTGAGGGTGTCCTTCTTATTCAAAGGAATGGCAAAAGGAGCAACCAACATCGCTCTGAAATTTAGGAGGCAACCACCTCAAAGGTGGTGGACATGAATCCCACCTTAGTGATGCCTTCAAAGGAGTCCCCAAGCAAAACATCGCAGCAAAGTGTGGAAGAGCCACTTTTAAGACACCGCCATGGGGATCTCCCAAGGCGAGCCCAGAGTCAGCTTTCCCGCATGCGGCCAGGCGCGCACTGCGCCTGAGCATTCCGTCAAAGCGCCGTCTAGGGCTGGACCCCACAATGGGCTTCGTTTGTTGCAAAGACAAGCCTCCTTTGGCTTCCTTTCTCCGGTTTCCGTCGGTTTGTTTGAAAACAGGCACGTAACTGGACAACAACAACACAAACATCTCTGGCTCTCCTGGGGCCCTGGAGCCCGGCCGATACCTTTCGTGAAGCATCGGCTCGTTTCGCACGGTGTGCAACTGACGTTTCTCAAGACTCCTCGAGCGCCAGGCGCGCAGCACCAGATTGCGCGCGTTCTCATGGCGGGGTTGTCCCTTCAAAACCTCCAACTGGAATGAGCGGCTTGTGTCCCAGATATGAAATCCAGTCGAGACCGCAGAGTTTTTATCTGGAACTCATTGCGGAGGGCCACTCGTTTCCAAGCAGGTGGCAGCCCTGTGCGCAGAGGACGGTTCCGTTCCATGTGGCGCAAAAATGCGGCCAACCCGCAGGCAAAAAGATGAGTGCATCCGCGGGACCATGGCTTTCCTGGTGTATCGGGATCCTCAAACAAGTTTTAATGTTCACGTCTCGTTTCCTGGACCTTAAGGATGGGGGTCCCAAGTACACAAGTACATATCTCCGCCGGAAAAGAGGGATGGTCAAGCCATGAGGACTGGAAGTTGTCCTAGGGAGTCGTGACCATCCCTTTGCCCAAACGGCGCAGAGGAAAGCCATGTGGAGGCGTGTCCTGAAATCGACGTTTCGAAAGACAGGTGGCTTCCTCTTTGGTTCCCTTGAGACACCTCCAAGAGGAGGCTCCTCTTTTCCAAGTTTAGGACCGATTTTGGGACACCCCTGGGCTTTTTGCCTAGATTTCAGAGGCTTTTGGCGTTGGCCAGTGCTGGCAAGTTGCAAGTTCCAGTTTCAAGTGCTGGCACACACAGCAAGCGAAAACGGGGTGGTGCGATGCTGCTCACTGTGCTCTGTCCAGGACATTGGCTGACCTTGGCATTTCCACAATGGGGGACCTCCCGGCGAAGGTTTGGCTTCCCCGATACAGGTCACATGGTTCACCCCATGGTGTGCAAGAAGGCGCCCAAGCTCATCCCTGATTCCTTGACAGCCATGATGTTCAGGGAAGGTACAAGTATCACAATGGTTCGGGAGAGGTGCCCTGTCAACACACACACACACACACAACTCACCGAGCCTTCCTTGAGTGTGTCCTCAGATAGGCGGCCCCCCCAAATGTTTTTGTTTGCATCTTTTCACCCTACAGGGTTGCGAAGCCTCGACTGAGTTGCTCTCTGCGGCCGCAGATTCCCTCGCCATGCCTTGCCCCTTGGATCCTGTCTTCCTCTGGACCCAGACATCCAGCCAGGACTTCGGATTGCTTCCGTTTTTCCTTACAGATTGCCTTTGGTTAAAGGGTTTCTGGCTTTCCCCGTGGTTCGACCGCCCCGTTTTCGGTGAAAATTAAGTCACCAGGGCGCCTGTTCTTCCCGTGACGGGTCGAAACAGAACGGACGAACCAGTGACATCAGGTGAGCCACAACCAAAACCCTGTTATAGATGAAGCTTAGCACGGGGTATTCAAATGGGTGCTTCCACCTTTCTATTTCTTTACATGGTTCTGGGTAGACCATTCCAGTACCAGGTTTTGATTATGGCTCAGGTAAGCCTTGGGCGGTTTGAGATTCGTGTCTTGCCAACTGGAAATATTGGAACGGCGGCGAACGACTGCAAGGTGGGTTCCTTTGAAAAAGCAAGGTCGCACGTAGCCAACTGTGGATGCGCGTCCTTTCTAGGGAAAAAACAATATATATATATATACATAAAAACACATGGAACATCCAGAGGTCAAGCTACTTTGAGCTAAGTGCCCCTTGAGAAAACTAGGTGGCATGTGACCAAACATCAACCAGCAACATCGTTGCTCAACGAAAAAAGTCCTCTAACAACACCTATGGTACTTGGAGTTTTAAGGACGCCCCTTTTTCGGCAACATTGTTGTGCTCCACCGACCCCTCCGCGTTGAAGGCGGGCCAATCTGAAGCGGGGTTTTTAGTTCAAACGTGGTCCAGCAGGGAAAGGTCTATTTACAGCGGGGTGTCAACTAGATCTCCTTACGTTTCCTAGTTGGAACGTTGGAACCCTGGCTTTCTGACTTGTCCAAAACCAAGCTTTCAAACTTCTGAGTCTCAGTTTGATTTTTTCGTTTGGCTGGAGCCAAAGTTTTAAACTCTGGGATTGGAGCCGGAGGGCGAAAGTAGATGGCACAATTGCGCATTGATGTGGGCAAGGAACGGAGGTGACTTTATTCCAAGAATGGCTTGGGACTGAATTCTCCATCTACTTTCACCGAATTGTCCCGCTGATATGTGTCTTCCGACTGTTTGAGAAGAAACTACACGCGGCTGGATTACTTGTGTTGAACCGGCAGGTGCGCTAAAGAGCCCGAAAAACCATCCCTTTGCTTGTGTCTTTGTTTTCCTCGGTTGGTTTTAAAGGGAATCTATGACTACTGGCTGTTTTTTTTCCAGGGGACTTGAGCAAAGTTGAGGACAGTCTTTCCATCGCAGGTGAGCTACGACTCCAGCGGGGCTCCCTCGACCTTCGAGAGCCAGCCGAGAGCGAGCGCCGCGGATTGCAACAGCGGCAAGACGGTGTGCCGGGCTCAGAGCGCGCGGCTCGCGGCTCGCGGCTCGCGGCTCGCGGCTCGCGGCTCACGGCTCGCTCGCTTTCGGATGGCTCGACCCCTGCCTTTTCCCCCAAAGCCCGTGCCTTGCTTCTCACTCTATGGGGTTGTCGCCTTTTTTTCAGGGCACCCTTTCACCTTGGTTCAAGGGACGCAGGGCCCCCCCAAAAAAGAACCAAGAAGTATGTGCAATTCAAATAAATAAAGGTGGGTTTTGGTTTCCACTTACCCTCCAAAACACACCCACCCACCCACACCCACACACACACACACATCATGGATGTTTCCCTGAAACAAGTCTGATCTAGGAACAGGCTGTTTGATTGTCAAAGTTACAATCCACACGGGATGACAGCATGGTGTTGGGTATATGTCTCACCGTTGAATTGTGTTTGAGACAAATCGAGAAGGAGCCTTTTGCGTCACCCCATAATTTGTTTTCAGACTTGAAGAGAAGCACCCGACAAAGTTTGTTGAATGGACAAGCGGCATCTCCAGAAAACCCTTTCTCACCCTACATCACGACAGCCACCCTCTAGGTGCTTCATTTGCAGGGAATCTGGCTCGGGTGCTAAGTCGCCCACAGATTTAACACAAATCTCAACGAGAAGCCAAGAGGCATATATATATATATATATATATTATGTACATCTATATATATGATATATGTATATCTATAGATAATATAATATATAGTATATGCATTTCTGAATTTCTCCAGGTCCCTTTTTTCAAAAGCCCCGGTAATTGAAGCTGCTTGGCTTCCTCGTAGGGAGCAAGTGCAGCAAGAGTCCGTCTTCGAAAGCAAGCCGCAGCAAAGCCGGGCATCGCCGGCCTGCCTTGGACCGCAGAAAAACCATGTGGATGCGGGGTTGCTTTCTCCGGGAAGCCAAGGCCATTCTGAGGGTTTGAGTGGTTCCTAGGCTTTGTTGGGAAGAACAGGTGCGACATACTGTGGAGCACAGGACCCAGGACGCGCCCGGGGCTTTCCTTTCCCAGGCAGTGAGACGCTGACCCTTGATTCAGCTTGATAAATTCGGGGACATTTGGCTGGTGAGGGAAGTATCCTTAGCCAGGGTTTACATAATCAACCCCCTCCTGGGAAAGGGAAACCAGGTGGTTTAAACAAGGGCCGAGCCCTGGCCGCCCGCCAGCCGTCTGTTTGAATGGTGGGGTGCTTGTCTCAACGTCCGGCGGCGCTTTGGCTCAGCGAGCAGACAAAGAAGGAGACCCTCGAAAGTAGGGCTGACGCCCGCTGCCCGCAGGGCGGCTCAGAAACCCGGGCCTCCCTTCAAGGTACCTGAACCCCGGTAAGGTGTCGTTTGATGGGGGAAGGGGCGAGTGAGTCGCCTGCCCATTTTTTTGGTTTTTTTCCGATCCAATTCACCAACTTACCACTCAACCAACAAGCCCACTGAGGTATCAGCATCGATGAGCCTCAGCTTCCGGCGGCCGCTTGGGCGGCACCCAGGTGACCAAAGGATCCATTGGGCCAATCATTGGAAGGCGCGACATGCAGATCCCAGTTTTGACGTTGCCATGTGCGATTTGTGGGATCCACTTGGCTGCTGTTTGCTTCGGATCCATACACCAACTCACGGGAGGTACTGTGTCGCAGCAGTTGGTGTATCCCAGTATTCATAGGCTTTTGTTCCATCCCAACTGGGGCAGGATTGTGTCAATCCACAGTGCCCTGATTTTTTTTGTGGGGGTTCAATCTTTTGCATGAAGTGCTCGGTGATATGGTGTTTCCTGAAGCTGAAGGCGCATCTACTGGCAAAGGTGTCCTTTCGATTCTCTAGCATCCAATGACCACCTTCATGGACAGGATGTCCTGCTTCGAAAACTCCAAACATTTGGATCATATGTTTGCAGCGGGTAGAGAAGCTACTGGAAAGTGTTGGTTTTCTTGCGGCTTAAGATGGCCCCCCCCCCCCCAATCTTAGGAATCGCCCTTGTGGAAGACAACTTTCCCTTTGGAAAGCTACCAATGGCGCACGTCCATGTATGTTGGTCGGAGGCTATATACCTTGCGTTCTTTGTCCAGCGCCGCAGTTTTTGAGGACAAGACACAGGGAGAATCGAGGCACTCGGTTTGGCATGAAACAAACGGCTACCTTGCAGGAGGTTAGCCCCTCATGAGGACATGTCCTTGTCCTTTGATGCAAAACACTTGAGATGGGCGGCCTCAAAGTCCAGGTCGGGTCTCACAAGGAAGCCCTAAAAATGCCCATAAAAACCATCCTGCGCATCAAAACAGGCACGCCCATGTGCAGCTCCTTGCTTTGATAGAATATTTGAACACTGTGTGGTTTCTGAAGGTATCCTGTATATCTTGGCTTAAGGGGAACCAAAGGAAACCGCCCGTTTGGTCCTGTCGCCTGAGGTGTGCATTGAGGAAGCTGCTTGTCACTTGGCTGGAGTTTCAAGCACCCTGATTCCAGTGAAGTTTCAATCCTCGGAGCTTTGGGTGCTGGCGCCCCTGTTCCTTAGCCGTCAATTTTGGGACAACCCAAGAGTTGCTCCCAAGGATCTACCTTCATCTTACCAAGGCAAAGTGTTTGAATCAGCCGAAGAACTTGATTCCGGCAGCTGGGAAATGTGTATCGTCGATCGGGCATCCTTTCTTGATCCCATACACTTCAATTTTTAACTGATCCGGTGCCTTTCCAATGCGAGCACTTGCCCTCTTAGGCACTTGCTTCTTTGGCAGCTGCGCTTCTTGCCTTTGGCAGCAGGCAGGGCAACTGGCGGATGGTTTCCTTTGTTTTGCTTTAGAACCATAGGGAAGGGTGCCCAATTCGAGCACAACCCCCCCACACCAACTCACCGCCGCGCCACGCGCCGCTTTGCTTGCGGCAGGCTGCCAGAGGCCTCCGCAGCGGAGCCGCCGCGCTTCGCACTGCGGGTGTGCGAGAAGTGCGCGGCGCGCCTAAACGTGTTCTTGCCGGCCACCTGTCGCATAGGTTCAGAGAGACCGGAGAACCACAGTAGGGAGTCCCAGTCTTTTCAGGATGAACCGTAGGGAATTGCAATTTCCTGTATTCCTTCTTTGATGGACTTTCAGCTTGAAACATCACCTTCTTGGGGCACAATTATGGTGAGTTCCTTTTGGGTAGGGTGATGTTTCGAGGGGCAACAAGAGGGTTTTGTCCCCATTTGGAGACAAACTGATCTTGTTACTGAGCAAAACACTAGGGTTGCCCCATGTTAGAGAATGCGTCACTTTGGGAGGCAAACATCGTCTCCATCAATGACCTTATTTTGCTGGTTCTCATTGGAGAATCACCTTGGGTTTTGGGAATGAACCACGGGCATGGTTCATGGTGGGTCACCTGATCCGGACCTGGCGACAAATTTCCTACAACACCAAGCGCCCTCTTTCCGACAACGGCAGAGCAAAAAGGGTATATTACAGAAAGAAAGAACCTGTCTAGGGTCGTTTCAGGTATTCTGACAGAGTCAAGAGCTTGAAGGTCACTACACAACACGCAGAAACAACCAGCCCTCATCTTTCTTGCATCACCCTGCTCCCTGGTCACCCTCCCTTGCCACACCCGGCCCAGCACCGTCCAGCAACAGCGCCTTACCAAATTTCGAATTCACCGGCCCAGCACCCGCCCTTTCCGCTCTCGAAAGACATACCCCAAACCAAAGGCTGAGGTTAGATTTTTGGCAATTTCGCCCATGGCCCGATGATTAAATAACCAAGCTACTCGGGTCCTTGTATTGAACATCACCTTTTGATCAAACTGAAAACCCACAGCCCGTACGGGTGTCATCATTCGTGTAGTCGTTCGTGCGTTGCTGACTGTGTGAACCCGCAGTGACAGACAGCCGCCCGCAGGAAGATGAAGTTATTGTCTGCCAAGCAAGGTGTACACTTATTGGCCACGTGACCCCCATCTGGTAGCGCTGGTAGGGCGTCCTTTCTGTCCTCGACATCTGATGGGAAAGCAAACCATTTTTGGAATTCCTGATATCTCCCCGGCCGAATCCGGATTCGTCTCTCCAGCAGAATAATCGCTGTCCGGAACATGCGGCTTCGACAGCTGGGTCTATGCTGGTGTAGTCGTCGTTCGCTTCACTCGCATCGTATTCGACTCGTTGCGGGCCAACCCCTCCAGCCGAGAGTGCGTGAGGTGAGCCGCAAGGCAGGGAACGGCTACAACCCCCGGTTCCACCTGGAGCAGACTGCCAAGGGCGCGGCGGCCGCCACTCGGCCCCCACGGGCCCGAAGAAATGGGCCCGAAATGGGCGAATTAGGGGCTGGATTGATTCGGGGTGCTTGCTCTCCTCGAGTATTCTGATAGATTTATTTGGTGATGATGGTAGCATCCATGACTTCCGACTAGTCCAATCGTTATTATCATGACGTTTCTGAATGTGAGTTTGCAGCGACCGCTTTCATTTTGGATCTCATTTAAACACTTGGTACGAGACGACTAGCTGAGCAAGCAAGAGAGTGAGAAAACTCGTTCTGTTTCAGCCGCTATGATGGGGACATGAATGCATGAATGGCTTAGCTCATTTTGTGGGTCCCCTTTGGATGGTGCTGACAGGGCTTTAGTTGTTTCCTTGCGGTGTCAATCTATGCGGCGCCGATCTTAAAATGTTCCATCTTCCTGACTGTGACAGTTTGCCTTTTGCGCTCGCTTTGCCACACTATTGGCTTTCAACCCCACTTCCCCGTGGCAAACTGTGAAACGGATTCGCCTTGTCATAAGGGTTTCGACATGTTCACTTTGGAGCCGGTCCCACATTATGTTCAACCGAACTGGTTGTCACTGTTGGGACAAGCGGTCCTTAACCAGAATGAGCCCTGGCATGCAGTATTTGTTCAAAAGGAAAGCCGCAGAGAACACTCTCCCATTTTGGCGATTCCATTTGGCGACAACACCATCTTATCATCCCAGTGTGTTTTCTTGAGGGTACCTTTGTTTGGTTGGTTTTTGCAGGGACATGAAAACCGCCCGTCCTTTTTTTCGGGGGAGGGAGGGTCCCCCTTAGAAAGAGACACCCATACCATTCATGGAGGAACTGCTCGAGATGTGCACAGAGGCCGGCTGGCCATCTCCGGAGGTTGAGTGGGGCTCCTGTCGGGCGCCCAGAGGGCTCCAAAGGCATGGGCTCCGATGTTGCATGGTACACCCTCACTTTGAAAGGTGGTTTCAAGGGACATCAAAGGAGGCCAACAACTTTGGGGACTCTTTTGAGAAACGCCCAAGTGGCAGGTGTGTTTCGGAAGCGGTTGGCCCTCTCGCCTGACATGGAACGTAGCTGGGGCTGCGTGGAAGGTCGCTCTGACAGGGGGCCTTTTAGTGGCTGCTATGTTGGTGAGAGGGCAACCGGCAGGTCGGAAAAGGTTGCAGGACAGTGCAACTGCCAAAGCAATTTGCCTGGGACCCAGTATATATTGCAAACTGCGGGAAGGTTCCCTCGATCCCTTCTTTTACTTTGCAATCCCGAGCTTTACTACGATGAGTCTTGTGAGGGACCGCGTCTCAATTGGACTGGGAGTTGGTTGGGAGGACAGCAAACAAACAAACAAACAAACAAACAAACAAACAAACAAACAAACAAACAAAGAAACAAAGAAGCAAACAAACAAACAAACAAACAAACAAACAAACAAACAAACAATCAATCAAACAAACAACAGACAGACAGACAGACAGACAGACAGACAGACAGACAGACAGACAGACAGACAGACAGACAGACAGACAGACAGACAGACAGACAGACAGACAGACAGACAGACAGACAGACAGACAGACAGACAGACAGACAGACAGACAGACAGACAGACAGACAGACAGAC